GGGGGGGTCTCGTGCATGCGCTATGATGCAGTTTACTTGGCTTCTGAAAATACATTTTCTCAAAGGTATTTTTAATCTGAAAAGAGTGAGAAGTAGTGGACTTCAGCAGGCAGTTTCACTTTCACTTTCAGTTTCACTCGTTGTTTGCTTTGTTACTGCTGAGAGCCTGCAGGAGTCCTGTGTGGGGTGGGGTGGTGGGGTGCTCTGAGATGAGGAAGTTCGGCTTGGATACACGTCCCAGAGGCGTTTCTGGTCCCAAAAGTCGTTTCTGGTCCCCACCTGTCGTTTTGCTCCTCAGCGTGGCTTCATATAAATGCTGCAGGATTTCTCAAACATGTATGAATGAGTCAGAGCAAGGCTTTGGGCATGTTTTTTATGAGAGTAACATTATAACATGATACAAAACTCAAAAAAGTTGATTTTTACAAGATATTGCCCCTTTAAAAAAGTAGGGGAGCACCTTATCCATGGTAGTCACTAGCATCTCCAATGCAAACTCCAGCTTATCCATGCTAGTCGCTAGCCTCTACGATGCTAATGCCAGCTTATCCATGCTAATCGCTAGCATCTCAGATGCTAATGCCAGCCTATCCATGCTAGTCGTTAGCCTCTACGATGCTAATGCCAGCTTATCCATGCTAGGAGCTAGCCTCTCCTTAATTTTGGCCCTCATACCGCAGCATAGTTTTTAAGGTTTAAGCAAATCAGCAAGACTCTGGTAATTATCAACATCAGATAATCTCATTCTATATCTTTGGTATAAAAGATCCATTTAAAGAACCTCATTCAATTTTAAACAATATTCCCTCAAACTGTTAAGGGAATTATGTTTTATTTCTAAATATATTGTTTCAGGAAGACCATGCTCATTTTTTCTTCAAGGCATGTCCATTTTTGATATTAGCTAAGGTTATATTTTGTTTCTATCCACTTGTAAACKCTTAAATATGAAAGTCTCATTCTGATCCTGCTGCTTCAGTTTTTTATGTCCCCATTTTGAACTTTCTGTCTTTCTAAATGTTGCTGAGCTCCATCTTTTCTTTATCAGTGCATCCCCTCTTCCTAACTGCTTTTTCCTTCCTGTACTTCAGCACTGTTTATCTCCCAGATTCAAACTTTGATGCAGAAGACAAGAATCAAATCAAAGTCTTTAAACCCAAACAAGAAATTATCCCTTCTCCTGCCAACACGCGTTATTTGGTCTGAAGTTAGCAGCAGGGGGTGGAAACCCCAGCTTGTTGTTCGAACACTGAGACTTTAATCAGTTACTTTAAAAATGTTTTATCAGAGATTTTAGACAGAACAWACAATGATTAATGAACTGGTTTAATTCTAAGCTGCCTCTTTCTTTATTTGCTTTAAGATTAAGAAGAATATTTTCAGGTTTGTGATTTATTTTTGTGTATTTAGCGCTTTGCCAGSTGTTGTCACTGGCATTAAGAGACTSAAGCTGACTTCATCCTTTTTGTGTCATGAAGCTGAAGTTAGAAACAAACAGATCAGGAGTCTGTGACCGAGTTTTACGCCCTCATGTGAGGATTTCTCAGTCGGCATCACGCCTCCTGCAACATCATGTGAGATAACGCTAACTTTAGATCCCTTCCTGTGAAGTAAAGTATTTTTAAACGTTTCATAAGCTTGGCTTCGTGGAAACATCTGTTTGAATTTGGGTGCGATTTGAAGACAAGAAATAAAAAGACTCGACAAGAAGCGTATTTTTTTACCACCCAAAACAAAATCTTAGATAACATTTTCTGTCACAGTTCAAGTGTTGCATGACTTAACATATTTTTGTTGGTATCAGGAATTGTTAAATATTTAAAACTATAATCTGAACCACCTGCAGTTCTGCAGGATGTTTCTTTTTGTCTCGTTTTGTCTCAGGGGTGAATRTCTGTCTCTCATGTGTGGTGGCCCACACTGTGATGTTGGTGGTTTATGTTGGTAACGCTTCTCCACCCTGTTCCTCTCTGTGAGCCGTGGTTGTGACAGGATGCCATGCTGCAGAAACACAGCTGCAGTGTCACAATCTGCTTCACCAGGAAGTCCAGAATTACTTATTTTTCTTATTAAACTTGTTTTATCTAACATGAAAATATACTCTTTGGTCATGTAAAGATGGCACCCTATTTTATGGTTTCTTTTAGTAGAATGTTTACAGTTTGTTGTTGAAGTTAGTTTTATGAAACTTGGTGTTTCGTTGTCAGTTTTGGTCAGGGCATGCTTGTACGAGTTTCTCCTGGTAAAATGAAGGAAATAAATAAAGTATGGCCGACTTGACGTGTGGTTTACCACAGAGCAGTTCTCCACTTTGCCTCAGTCCATTTGAAATGAGGTCTTGCCTTTTTATGTTTTCAAAATAAAAGGCAAAAAAGTACAATTTCTTTGTGTAATACTATTTATTTATTTATTTATTTATTTAAAGGCCATGGACATCCTGAGAGAGACACAGTTTGAGTAATGTTTTTCATGTTTTATATAAGAAAGTGAGATACAATCAGGACATWATTCAAATCTTCCTGTAGTCTAGGGGTGTCAGATATGTTCTCACTGAGGACCCCGTCAGCTCAAAGGTCCGTTTGTTAACTTTAACTTCGATGTTTCATGTTTAACTTCAACTAAACAGAAAACCTCCTCGTGTCATGCTAAGGCTAATCRTTGCTAACAAACAATAACTGAGCTCTACCTGGTATTTCCWGTATAGAAACAGTGTTTTAACACGTCTCCTAATAAACCCTGAAAAGTACTATGTGTACGACTAAATAAATATGAAATAAATACTAGTGAAAGTAAGAAAGTTTTACTCACCGTTGAGTCTTGTATTCTGAACTCTCCCACTTTCCCAGTGGGAATTCCCATGCATAATCGACATGCATAATGGAAGATGTAGTTTATGGTCAGTGCTGCTTTAAAGCAGCTTATTTTGAGACCAAAATGTGTCCTTCACATTTTAAATGTGTTTATTGTGTTGCACTGAATTATAAACTGCTACCACTGATATAAAAGCTATTTTCATTTTAAATTAATTAAAAGATTATAAATAAATCAGCCCTTTTGGCCTTGAATTTGACACACTATACATTAGGGCTGTGTATTGGCAAGAATGTGGCAATACGATAGATATCATGACACAGGGGTCTCGATACAATATATCACGAGATATTGCGAAATAATGCGATACTGTAAGCAAGGCGATATATTGCCATTTTTTGTCCAAAAATTATATTTTAGTATATTTTATATGAATCAATGCATAGTGCTAATGTTTACTCACAATGCTAATGTCTGAGCTAGCATTATACTCTCTGGCTCCTCAGGAGGGGAGGATTCAAGTGGCTGGCTGACTGCTGCCAACTAGTGGTCGGAGGCTAAACTGCAATATAAAAATGAACTGTTGGCATTAAAGTTGACATTTTAAACCTTATAAAAATCGATACAGGTTTTCAGAGAATCGATACAGTGTCGGGAAATGAAATATCGTGATATTTCAGTGTATTAATATTTTCTTACACCCCTGCTGTATATGTTGTAGTCTTTAGTGTCTTTTGAAACACTGACTGCTGATTTTTTATGTTTTAGAATTTTTAAAGTGACTGGGATGGTCTTTAGTGAGATTCTAGTTTAAATCCTGCACCTGTTTCTTTTTTTTACAACCTTTTCTTTACAGCTTTTCTTTCCTGGTACTAATGCCTGTTTGCTGCTTCCTCCTCTAACTGCTGCTGGTTGCAGCAGTGTGGTATTCTGTGGATGTGAGGGTGTGTTAGGAATGCTGCATGCTGTAATTCAGCTGTGTTTCTCTCCCAAGGCAGCTGAGGCAGAGGTATGTGATCTGATCACTGTTATGTGGTTTGGTTCAAACATTACCCAACAAACTGCCAAGAAAGACCTGAAGGTACCTGGAAAAAAGGGCGGAGCAGAAAGATTTCAGTTAGAACGCCCAAATAAGTTTCTCCTTGCGGTGGCGTTCCTCAGGTGACCCGGTTTAAGTTTCGTCACGTTCACCTGGATTACTAATCCAGGTGAACGTGACGATCCCTGCGAACATGGCTTCCTCCTGTGAACGATGTGGGGGAACATGTTGTGTCTTTCAGGGTTTGGTTGGAGCAGCAGCTCAAAGATGTGGTTCTGACTGATTTTACACAAGTTTGTTTCTCTTTTTTGTTTACTGGTTACTAACCAGTTCCGCTGGATSGAACAGACCTCCAGCAGCCTGTTTTACTCCGTCACAGAGAAACAACACTGCGATGGGAATTAATGAGTCATGGTTTTAGGAGCTGAGCAAAAAACATCTCCAAACAAGTTGGAATAAAACATGTTTCTGCAAGAAATTTGAAGGAATAATAATTTATCGTGGGCTTTTTGTGCATTAAACTTGATCTGCTGTTATTAAAAAAATAAAAGTTGTCAGCTTGATGCCTTGTTTTCATTATAGCTCCCTAAATAATGACAATAAAGCTGCATCTTTTTTTTAACAAAACTTGGTGAGACTTTTAAAGTTCTTGACAGAATTTTTGCTTATTATTGTAAATTATTATTGAAATGTTCTTGTGTGAAATTGATTGCTTCTCATCTCTCAAACCTTGAACGCTTAAAAAAATGATCATTTTCTAAACATCATGATCTGTGATGTAAATGTAATTTTTGTTTCCCTTGTTTCCTTATTTTTATTTGACGTTGTGTTACTTCTGTGTCTTCCAGATGCTGGACATTAAYTGGTCAGGACTCACAAACATGCTGGATATTCCTGGAGTAAAGTAAGTACCTGCAGCAGCATTCTGTTTCATGTGTTTGAAATAATCAAAAATAGGATTTGACGATAAGAATTTATAGAATTAAAACTAGTAGGGAATAAAATACTTTTGCATTTGCAGCTTAAAGAATACTTGCAGTTTTGTCGGCTTTGGTTTTTCATTACATCTCATCTGTTTTAMTACCAGCTTTTTTTAAAACTTCGTGTCAAAACGTCGATTTAAACTCTGCGGTTTGGAAACTAAAGCTTGCCGAGCCACCAGATCTCTTTCTCTAACATGTGATGAGAAAATTAAAGGGAAACTTTAGAGAACCAGTCCCTTTGGACCCAGCAGAAACCATTACATTACCCACCGGATGACAGAACGGATCAGGATTCTAAGAGTTGGTATTTTTAGTAACACGTTTATGAAAGAAGTGTCTTTTTGCAGACGTGATGTCGGAGGGATTTGAATTATTATTAAGGGTTRGAAGTGACCAGAATTAGGATTTGGTAGAGGGGCGTGTTGATCTGGAGCCACCAGATTTCATTCTGGTTTTCAGTTCTGTGAACTAGAGCTCACCAGTTCCTACTTTTGTATTTAATTTCCCTCTGAGTGTTGTTCAGGGCTCCCGATTTGAATAAATAGTTTGAGAACCACAACAAAAGGGTTGCTACCCTGTAAATGTTGTCGTCTGCAGATTTTTAACATGAACACATTTTAAAGCCTCTGAACTGAAACTAAATCATGTGTGTGTGTTGAGAAGTAGAGGAGGAAGACCAGAGCGTTATGTAGGAGTGGCCCCTCTTACAGAAAGCTGTGCAGGCTTTACGCCACGCATAGAAAAGARCATAAAACAACATTTTTTTAAAAWGTAAGCTCTTTTTCTTGAGTTTTTCCATCACTCAGAGCCCGGTGAYGTTTGGGGAGAGCTGGTCTTCATCTTGATACGTTTCCTGTTTACATTCTTTTTCTTTGTGATGATCGCTGCCTGTGTTCTTAAGGGAGGGAAAGAAAAAAAAAGACGATTYAAACATGAAACAAGAACAGCGAACCCTGAAACTTGACCTAAATGTTGTGGGTGCCCCCCGCCCCGCCCTTACCCAATGAGCTGTTGTTATCCTCCTGATGAACCTGTAACTGTTTGCAGCTGAAAATCACTCTGAGGCTTTTAAAAGACTCCACCCTGTAAAATGTAGCTCTCCTTGTTCAACTAGTTGAAAAAAATTATGTCTGTGTTTGTGCTTTCATTAACTGCAGACCTGGACTTGCCCCACCCTCCTGATCCCATGTGTGTGTGTGTGTCTGTGTGTGAGGGCACTCGCATTTCCTCTGACGATTTGCATTTTGCGTCGAAACAGCACGAAAAGCCRAAGCCACCCTCTGCTGCCTTCTTTTGGAAAAGCTGACTCTCTCCGTCTCACAAAAGCTCCTTTTATAGACATAACAGCAGGAAATMATGTGGGAGACTTGAGATGAAAAACCCAAAAGAGCTGCAGCATTTAACTCTCATCTGGACTTAGTTAAACTTTGAATAAGCAGCGTTGTCATCAGTCAGATTTTTTACTAATATCAGGCTTTAAACTTGACCTAGAATCAACTTCTGCTGAGAGTTTAATCTGAAAACTGAATTTGTTTTTCTTCAAACCTCTGCTGCCATCTAAAGGAGGAGAGATGAAATGGATTCACTCAAAAAATATTTTTTTAATTTTATTCTTCTCATTTTATTTAAAAGTTTACATACAAAA